CACATCTGCCTCCAACCCCGGGCACACTCATCCATGCCTGCCCCGGGACCCAGAGTGGGTTGGAAGAAGGAGGGACGTGTGGCTAGGGGCTGTGAACGCTCATGCCTGTTTAACTATTCTAATTAAGTTTTGATATGCTGCCCACATGACCAACCCCTGCCTTTTCACAAGAGCAACTGGCTGGGACTGTCCCAAATAGCTCTGTTTGACTAACAGTCACCCCTTGACCTGAGGCCTTTCTGAGGTCCTGAGTAACCACTTAACCATGGACTGGTCCGTGGTTGGATTTCTAGAAGAATTTAGGTCAGGGGCACAGCTATGGCAGCTCCTGGGAACAGCCATCCCTAGGAGGAGTAGGGGCAGGGAGGGATGGCCATTCCCTTGCACCCCTTTCTTGTTCCCTCCAGAAGTGGCATGAATATTGCCACCCTCGTTTTGTTCTTGCATAAAACTGCACACTCTTTCACGCCAAGGCCCTCATCTCCCCACGAGAACGCCCCCTGTAGGCCGGCCCCCTGACTTCCACCCCCAGGGATTCTTCGTCTGGGTTTCTTACAACGCTGATCTCATCGCTGGGTCACCAAATGTCACCCTTCCTCTCTGTGAGCTAGGAGGCCAGAGGCTGTGGCAGTTCATTCTTGCGTCTTGGTGCCAACCACAGCGTCTTCCAGTAGAATTCAGTATGAACTGGAAGGAAAGAAGGAAGCAGGGCGGGAGGGAAGGAGAGGAGCTGCAGTGGGGAAGGCCAAGCAGAGGGGTGTGGGGCACAGCCGTGTTCCCGAAACCGAGCTTCAGGGCTGGCCCCATGCAAACCACCCTCCCTGCCGGCTGCCTGCCCCAGGCACTCACACCCCTGCTGCATGTGCTGTGCAGGACTCAACACCCTCTGAGGGGCCCTTCACCTATGCACCTGCTGACTTTTGTCTTCCAACCTTGCCCTGCCTTCAGGGGCTCCCTGTAGCACTCCTAAGCCCTCAGCTACTTGCTGAGGGGTGAGAGTGGGGCATGGACAGACTCTGGCTCCTTTGAAGACCTACATTCTGCTCCCAATGCCTTGGTTTGGTGCTTTTTAAAAAAATATTTATCTTTTAGTTGTAGTTGGACATAATTCCTTTATTTTATTTATTTTTATGTGGTTCTGAGGATCGAACCCAGGGCCTTGCATGAGGTCAGCAAGTGCTCTACCGCTGAGCCCCAGCCCTGGTTTTGTACTTTTTATAACAGGCATGTTCAATTTAAGATGCACCCCCCCCAACCTCTTGGGGAAGGTAACAACCTACAGAATGTTCTCTCTTTTCTCCAAGCTTCTTTGTTACTTCCTGTTTTTTATCTGATGTGCATTCATTGAGTGCCTACTAGGAGCTGCACACTGTACTAGACAGTAGAAGTACAAGCACAGCTCAGGCACAGGGTCCCATGGGATTCCTAGGGATGAATGTCAGGAAGAAGGTGAGGGGTGGGTGGGCACGGGGGCGTGTGGATCCTCCTAGCACATCCTGTCCACCTCCACCTGGCACCAGACAACTGTGCTTATGGAACGACTTAGGAGCCTGGTTAAATGACAAGCACCATACCGTACATACAGTAGCATTAAGTGTGATGATTGTACCTCAGAATGTTCTATTTGGTATGAAAGAACATGGTTATTTGAAATTACTGTGATAAAGATGCTAAAGCTATTCTGGCTAAGAGGTGACAATTTTCTGTCACTGCCTATGACATACATAAAGGGAGGTGGCGGGAGGGTCCCTCCTCTTCTTGAGAATGAGGTGGAATGTACTTTTCTGGAAGTGGAGTGAAGAGGAAGCCTGGTATTCCCCAGGTAAAGGACATTCTGATCCATTCTACGTATTCTCATAACTTTATTCTGATTATAAAATTAATATGTACTCAATCTGAGGATAAAACCAGAAAATATAAATAGGAAAAGGACAGTCTTTTTATTTCTTCTCTTTCCACTTTTTTGGGGTGCATTTTAGTTTTACATAATGGTGGAATTTGTTGTTATATATTCCTACCTGCACACAATATAGCAATATAATTTGGCCAATATCACTCCCTGCTTCTTCTCCACCTCTCATCCCGGGTCCCTTTCCTCTACTGAACTCCCTTTATTTTCATGAGGACCACCCCCACCACACACACACACACACACACAAAACTTTCTTTTCTTTTTTTCCTCTCTAGATTCCACATATGACAGAAAACATGGCCCTCACCTTCTGAGTCTGGCTTATTGTGCTTAACATAATTGTCTCTAATTCTATCCATTTTCTTTTTGGCCGAATAAAACTCCATTGTGTTTTATGCCACACTTCCTTTTTAAAATTAATTATTTTATTTATTTTAATTAGGTGAATATGACAGCAGAATGCATTTTGATTCATTGTGCACAATTGCAGCACATCTTTTCATTTCTCTGGTTGTACACAATGTAGCATCACACCATATGTGCAGTCACACATGTACCTAGGGTAATGATGTCCATCTCATTCCACCATCTTTCCTGCCCCCATGTCCCCTCCCCTCCTTTGCCCAATCAAAGTTTTTCCATTTTCCCAATGCCCTCCCCCCATCATGGATCAGCATCCACTTATTACAGAGAACATTTGGCCTTTGGTTTTTGGATTTGGCTAACTTTACTTAGCATGATATCCTCCAACTCCATCCATTTACCTACAAGTGCCTAATTTTATTCTATTTTAATGCTGAGTAATATTCCATTGTGTATATATACCATGGTTTCTTTATCCATTCATCTATTGAAGGGCATCTAGGTTGATTCCACAGTTTAGCTATTGTGAATTGAGCTGCTATAAACATAGATGTGGCTGCATTACTATAGTATGCTGATCTTGAGTTCTTTGGGTATAGACTAAGGAGTTGGATAGCTGGGTCATAGGGTGGTTCCATTCCAAGTTTTCTAAGAGATCTCCATACTGCCTTCCAGATTGGTTGCACCAATTTGTAGTCCCACCAGCAATGTATGAGTGTGCCTTTTCCCCCACATCCTCACTAACACTTATTGTTGCTTGAATTCTTGATAATTGCCATTCTGACTGGCATGAGATGAAATATTAGAGTACTTTTGATTTGTATTTCTCTAATTACTGAAGATGTTAAACATTTTTTTCATTTATTTGTTGATCGAATGTTGGGGGCTGGGGATATAGCTCAGTTGGTAGAGTGCTTGCCTTGCATATACAAGGCCCTGGGTTCAATCCCCAGCACCGCCAAAAAAAAAAAAAAGAGCAAGATATGGCACACTTTCTTTATCTATTCACCCATTGATGGACACTTAAGCTGGTTCCCTAGTTTGTGAATTGCGCTGTTATCAATATGGGTATGCATTTATCACTAGAGTATGATGATTTAAATTCTTTAAATAAAAAGGAGTGGTAAGCTGGGTTACATGGTGGTTCCATGCCTAGTCTTTTGAGGAACCTCCATATTTATTTCCATAGTGGTTGTACTAATTTATACTCCCACCAGTAGTGTAATAGTGTTCATTTTTCTCCACATCCTCGCCAGCATTTATTATTGCTTATATTCTTTTTTTTTCACAGAATACTTTTATTTTATTTACTTGTATGTGGTGCCTCACAGGTGCTAGGCAAGCGCCCTGCCACCGAGCTGCAGCCCCGACCCCTGTTGTGTGTGTCCTTGATGACTGCCACTCTGACTGGTGTGAGGTGAAATCTCAGTGTAGTTTTGATTTGCGTTTCTCTAATTGCTAATGATGTCAAGCATTTTTTTTCATATATTTGTTGGGCATTTATATTTCTTCTTTTGGGAAGTATCTGTTTAATTCATTAAATGCATTAAGTGTCATTAAATTTATTCATTAATTTAATCCACTTGCCCATTTATTAATTGGTTATTTACTTTTTTGGTGTAAAGTTTTTTGAGTTCTTTCTATATTCTACATATTAATCCTCTGTCAGACGAGTAGCTGACAAAAATTTTCTCCATTCTGTGTTCTCTCTTCATATGCCTTTGTTTCCTTTGCTGTGCAGAAGATTTATAATTTGAAGCTATCCCATTTATTAACTCTTGGCATAAAGACATTCTCTTTAAATCTCTCCCCAAAGCATACATCTATAAAGTAGTAGACTACTATTACCTTTGAGGTATTCTTAGTCTCACTCCTAAGCAAGAGTTTACTGTGCGCATTTGAGAACATGCTACCCATATAATACCTTCTCTTGCTTTTCTCACTTGGTTTGCCATAAATATTTTCCCACATGATTAAAAAATGCATCATAAGTGAGGAATTCAAGTTGCAGAAAAATACATATAGTCTGGTACAAGGGGAAAGAAAAAACACACGCAACCCAAATAATATATATTTTCTATGCCTATGTGGAATGTTAACTCTGTGAACTACAAGCCCAAAATAGTAGGATATCTCTGGGAAGGTGAAGATGGAGAATGAAGCTGATGCAGAAAAGCAACAAAAATAGTAGCTTTGCCTGTGATGCCCAGAGGTTCAAGTTCTCAAATGTTGTATATATAAGTGAATTTGCTTTTAAGGTTAAAACTTTATTAAGTCATAATTACACTGCTTGATGTTAGACAAAATGACTGAATCTTACTTTATTTTATTTAAGATTGGACATCAGAATTTTTTTTCAAAATTTTAACTATTCTACATAATTTCTATTTATTGGATACAAATCTGTCTTAAGTCATTTCCTCTGAGTTCATCCCTGTGAGTGTCTGAGTCACCACGTCTCCATAAGCGCCAAGTGATATCAATTTTTAAAATTATTACTAATTTTGTACTGACTCATTTAATTTTAATTAGTACTTCTCCATTACTAGTAGAGCTAAAAATTTTTGGAATATATTCATTAGCCATTTTCACTGAGGAGGGACTTTTCCTCATAAACTTTAAGGGAAGAAACTCTTACAGGAGGGGCGTACCGGGAATTCAGATTGAGCAGAACTTTTCTTTTTGTTTCTTAAATCCTTGAAACTTTCTTCCTTTCATTGCACAGGAAAAAGAGAAGCAAAGAAAAGGCAGTTTGGGGACCAGACAGCAGGAGTGACATAAGCCATGGGTCAGCTTGAACTCCTGAAGAGCAGCCCTGGTCACATTGTCGCTGACTTGCCCACATCTCCAGTGTCTCCCCACACCTGACGACAGAAAGTCCTCCTCTGTGGAAACCAACCTTCTCAGGCGTGTTTCCCTCGCCTCTCACACACACCCGGTCCCCCATTCGCCAGGTTCGTGGCCATCCTTCAACCGCACACAGCCTGACCTCTTCTCTTCTTTGCTCACACTGTAATTCCCTCCCCTGCGATGCCCTCTCCGCTGTCCCAACACCAACCTTTCCTTCTTCCAATGAAGAAAGTATCACTTCTTCTGCAATCAGGCTTTTGCTCATCCCTAAGATTCAAGTGATTTTTAAAAAATTCTTTTAAATGACTATTTGTTCTCGAGGCAAGCATTAAAGGCCAAGATTTAAGCCCAGGTTTGTTCGTCTGCTGGTTAATTTCAAGTTTTATCTTGATTGGACCAAGGGATATGCAGATGGCTAACACAATTTCTTGATATTCTGTGAGAGTGTTCCTGGAAGGGTCAGAATTCAGCTCTATTGACTGAGTACAGAGGATTCACCTTCAACAAAGTGGGTGGGCATCATCCTATCTGTTGAGGGCCTAACTAGAGCAAAAGGATGGAGGAAGGGCAGTTTTTTTTTTCTTGCTTGAAATGGGTCATCCATTTTGTCTTGTCGTCCGACATTAGTGCTCCTCTTTCTCTGGCCCTTGGACTCAGACGAGAACTTATGCTATGGACTCTCCTGCTTCTCACCTTTAGGCTTGGACCAGAACTATACTCCCAGCTTTTGTTTCTTTAGCTTGAAGATGGCAGACCATGGAGCTTCTCAGACTCCATAACCATGTGATCAATCCCTCATAATAAATCTCTATCTAGCCTATTGGTGTCTCCGGAGAACCCTAACACAGTTAGTTCTTGCACTTCCTATGAAGTGCAAGAGCAAATTATTAAGGAAACTGAACCAATGATTCATCTCCCTAAAAATCAGAAAATGAGACCACATCAATAAAATAAACACATTTCCTGACACACAGTAGAAAGTCAATAACTGTTAGTCTCTACTTCAGTTTATTTTGTCTTGCATTAGAGTGATATGTGTAATGTTTATACCATTTCTAGAATAGAAAGTCCTGACAGGAAAGACCCCAGTTCCTTCACATTTAAGTGTCTTCTACACTATAGCGTCTATCACAATGCTTTTCACATTTGACATCTGTATTGAATTTGGATAAAGTTAAGGCAAATCATTGAGAATTTACTTTTGACTAAAACATAATAAGCAAAAGAAATGTGCACAGTTTCTATAATAAGCTAACAGAGGGCAAAGAGAAATGTCTGAATGTGAACATGAGTTCCAAGTCTGGATTTTTTCATTCTCTGGTTGTGAGACTCTGGGAAAGCCATTTACTGCATGTAAAGGCCTTGGTTCCTGTGCCTTTGAAGGGAGCTATTAAAAGAACTTAGCTCACAGAGTTCCTGGGGAAGAGTAAATGAGATCATACATACAGTGGACAGCACCAGATATATAGTAAGCCCCCAAGCAAAACCAGTTATTTCTACAAAAGAAGGCAAAGATGAAATATTGCGGAAATTAATGTTATTGAGGAAAGACTAAAATAGGCAACTCGCTAATTCACATTTTTAAAGGTTTATAAGAATGCTCTTTTATGATAGCATTTGTTTAAATTTTGATTGTTTAATGTTTTTTAAAACAAATATTTTTATTAAAAAGGAGTAAAATGTTTCATTCAGTAGGTACGTCTGAGAGTGTCATAATGCCATCGTCTTATTTTTCCAGGAAATCTGTACCTTGCAGTCAGGATGGCAAGACCACAACGCAATTCCACAACACAATGACATGGTTGCCATTCATTTATTGAGTATCTAGTAGGTGCCAGGCACTTCACAAAGCATATTTCAAGTACCAAGTACATTCCTGGTGGTCTAGTGGTTAAAATTTGGTACTTTCAAAGTACAAGGACAATTTAAAACTTTCTAAGCTATTTCTTTTTGTGCTAAAACTGCAAAACCAGGGAAACGGAAGACAATTGGCACATACACAAATCCTTTTATAAGTCCAGTGGTAGGAAACACAAAGCATCCGCTTCTGGCGGTATCTGTATTTTTCATGTGCACTTTAAAAAGATAGTCTGGGTAGAAATATTCAAAAAGTTGTTAGAGAAATATGAAGCAATATTTTTACTTCATCCACCCCTTATTGTCTAGCAGAAAGTGGAGCCTGGTATAAATGAGGTCACAAGACAGTTGGGTTTTGATGATCCTGGACTCAGGAAATCAGTGGCCGGTAGAGAAGTTCTGCAGCATTGATCTTGACGTGCCCACAACTTGGACTGCAAGCCAAGATGGAGTAGGCAGTGCGGGGAGCAGGGGGCTACCGTGAATTTGTGCCTCAACTAGGCCTCTTTCAACTAGGCCTCACTTTCAACTAGGCCTCACCCTCCTGGCTTCAACCATTGGTTCTGAGAAAGGAAGGTTCTGGATTTACTCAATCATTTTGCATAACATCCTGTTTTGAGCTGTTGGGCCTAAACATGTCCACATCCAGATTCTGCTGATCATCTCTGGTAGGGTGGCCCAGGGCAATGATGAACTCTTGGGCAGACTGAGCTAGGAAGCAAGTCTCAACCAGGCTGTGTCCTCTCCTCATCCTGTCTGAATGGTGACTGTGCACCCCTCACCAGCCTGAGGGCTTTCCCACCCACTCACAGCCCAGCCCTCACTCTGATTCACCCTGGTCACCCAGTGGGGAGACAGGAATCTCTCTGCTGCAGCTGAGGGGGCAGGGAATGCTCTGGATGAAGGGTCTGCATGGCAAGTAGCCTTTTTCCTTTTGTCTTCTTTAAAAACCTTATTCTTTTTGGCAAAACATGTGCTTATTATAAAGCAAAATACACACACTAAAAAATTATGTCACTGTCAGTTCCACCACCCAGAAGTAATAACCTTGACATTTTGGTTTACATTCCCTCTGGGGAACACACACACACACACACACACACTCACACACACAAAATAGTGTGTTATGAACACAAAAAGTCAGGAAAGAGAAATGGCGTTCAAGTACTCCAGGGCCCTTATATTTTCTGGGAAGTGGTAAAAGTGCTCTATATGAAAGTACACTTTATATTAAGAGTACTAAATCAAGGAGGCACATTTAAATCTTCAGGGTAAATACTAAGAGAACCGTAGAAACACGTGCTAACTACACACATTACCGGCAGGCGCTGCAGAATGAACAAAAACATGTAGTTTCTAGAAAGGATATAACACTCAGAAGGAAACAGTACAGTTTTTTTCATATTTTTATAACTTTTTGCCTGAAGGCAAGTCTTATAACAGGCAGCTGAATCTCTAATAGAAAACCTGCATTGTTAATGACTTAAGCAATCAGAGAATAGAATGCAGAATAAGTATAGCTGACGTAAAGTGAGGATACCAAATAGCCCGGCTAAGACTAAGAGAAATTTGAGCTTCTGCCAACCACCTGGAAGATAGAATCTGCAGTTCAAGTTCAGCCAAGTTAATAGCTTTCTTTAAAATATTATAAGAGTCTAGAGCTTCTATAACATATCATTCAAATGTCCCATGTACTGACCTAAATTAATTTTTATACAAAGCAACAAAAAATTTTACTCTATATAAAATTTGTTCAAGGAGAAAAGCTAATAAATAGAGATAGGTCATGTATTGGAGTTGGCAGGCAAGGATTTTTTAAAATATTTTTTTAGTTACACATGGACATAATATCTTTATTTTGTTTTATTTACTTTTATGTGGTGCTGAGGATTTAACCCAGTGCCTCACATGTGGCTCTGCCACTGAGCCACAACCCGAGCCTAGCAGGCAAGGATTTTAATGAAACTATTATAACTATGTTTGAGGGCATAAAGGAAATAACTTGTAATGAATGAAAAGACAGGAAATTTCAGAAGAGAACTAAAATAGCAGCAGCAACAACAAAAAGACCAAAGTAGAAATTCTATAACTGATATAAATATTTAAAATTCAAAACTCTGGGCTTAACAGAAGAATGCAAGTGACAGAGAAAGACAGACTTGAAGATAGATGAACAAGGCTATCCAACCTGAAGCAAAAAGAAAAGATGGAGAAAAAACAAATTGAACAAAGTCTTCAGAGACCTGTGGGAAAATAGCAGTCTAATATGTGTGTATAACTGAAGTCCCTGAAGGAGAGGAAGTGGGACAGAAAAAAACACTTGAACAAACAATAGCCAGATACTCTCCAATTCATTGGAAGACATAAATTTACAGATTCAAGAACCTCAGGAAATAACATTGAAGGAGACTGCAGATAGGGAAGTCACAGTCAAACTGCTGAAAATCAAAAACACATAGAAAACTCTTGAAAGCAGCCAGAGAAAACTGATAATGGAGCAACACAACTTTAAGGATTCCTAACTTCTTACTAGAAATTACAGAGCACAGAAGACCTTGGAGGTGCTAAAAGAAAAGAAGAACTGTCGACTCAGAAGTCCCATATCCAGTGGAAACGCCACTTAAGACAACAAAGTGCGGCTGCTGCCAGCAGACCCCATTATGAAAATAAATGAATAGTAGAGGAAGTTATTCAAGTCTAAAGGAAATTATGCAGAGTAGACACACCTTTAGGAAGGAAAAGATAGCATCATAAATTATAAATTTATGGGTAAATATGAATGATTTTTGTCTTCATTTCTTTAAAATACCTATGCCTATTGAAAAACAAATCATAGTGTTTTCGTTTAGGCCTAGAACAGTCAATGCAATACCTATAACAACCATGGCACAGAGAATACCACGGGTGGGAGGGGCCCACACAGGTATGAAGTTCTTACACCTAACACGAGAGGGTACCGACGTTGACTTTAAGCACAGGGAGAAATGTTAAGGACGTGCATTCTAAACCCTGAGAGCAGCCACTAAAAACCAAGAGAGGTATAGCTAAAAAGCCAGTCTATCAGTTAAAATGGAGTACCAGAAACTATTCAATTAAACCAACTAGGACAAGGGTGAACCAAAAGGGTTGAAAATTAGTCCTGGTCATAAAATAATCTTTTTAATGCATAGACCATATATAAAGACCGTATATAAGTAAATGTACAGTATATTTACAGTATTTCAACTTCTGGGAGATGTGATTGGGGGAAAATGTCTTAATAGTTCATAAGGAGGGTGATAATGAGAAAAAAGGAGGGAGTGGAGAAATTTTGAATTAAGCTAAAAGAAAGCAGGAAGGCAGAGCATAGAAACAAACAAAAAATAAGCAGAAGGAAAACAGAAAATAAGTCATACATTGCTTAAGGGAGATACGTACTGAGAAATGCGTGGTTAAGATATTTCTGAGAAATGTGTCATTAGGCCACCTCATCGCTCTTGGAACCTCAGAGCATA